TAAACTGTTCTCTTTGACTGTGTGTTAGTTTATCTTCCACGTATGAGTGAAATCATATGGTGTTTGTCTGGCTTATTTCGCTTAACATAAAACCCTCAAGGTCCATCCATGTTGTTGCAAATGGAACAATTTTATCTTTTTTATGGCTGAGTAGTTTTCCATTGTATATTTATACCACATCTTTATCCAGTCATCAGTTGATGGGCACTTGGGTTGCTTCCACTTCTTGGCTATAGTGAATAATGCTGCAGTGAACATAGGGGTGCTTAAGTCTCTTTGAATTGTTGATTTCAAGTTCTTTGGGTAAATACCTAGTAGTGGGATAGCTGGGTCATATGGTATTTCTACTTTTAATTTTTTGAGAAATCTCCATATTGTTATCCATAGTGGCTACACCAGTTTGCATTCCCCCCAGCAGTGTTTGAAGGTTCCATTTTCTCTACATCCTCTCCAACATTTGTTCTTTTATGTCTTGGTGATTATGGCCATTCTAACGGGTGTAAGGTGACATCTTAGTGTAGTTTTTTTTGTTTTGATTTTTTATTTGTTTGTGTTTTTTTGGTGAGGAAGATTAGCCCTGAGCTAACATCTGTTGCCAATCCCTCTCTCTCCAGACTGCTGATTCTCTCCTCCGTAATATCAGCTCTGTTATTCAGGGAATCCAGATTTTTCTTTATCGCATCTATTGTGTTTCATCTCCAATATTTCTTTTTTTAATTTTATTTATTTATTTTTCCCCCAAAGCCCCAGTAGATAGTTGTATGTCATAGTTGCACATCCTTCTAGTTGCTGTATGTGGGACGCAGTCTCAGCATGGCCAGAGAAGCGGTGCGTTGGCGTGCGCCCGGGATCCGAACCTGGGCCGCCAGCAGCGGAGCGCGCGCACTTAACTGCTAAGCCACGGGGCCGGCCCATCATCTCCAATATTTCTGATTGGTTTTTCTTTATAGTTTCAATCTCTTTTGTGAAGAAGTTCCTGATTTAATTGAACTATCTGTATTTTTTTGTAACTTGTTGAGTCTTTTTTATGATAGCTGTTTTGACTTATCTGTCATTTAAATTATAAATTTCTGTGCCTTTAGCATTGATTTGTGGGTGGTTTTCATTTTCCTTCTGGTCTGGAGTATTAATATATTTTTTCATGCTGTTTGACGGTGTGGATTTGTGCCTCCACATAGTGGTAGTATCTGGTCACAGTTTCTACCTGCTGCCGCTGGGTGGGGGTCAAGAGCTATATATTCTGAGCCCAATGCAATCTGCAGCCTGCTTGCTCATAGCTGCTGCTTTTCTGTCATACGCATGGGCTGGGCGGTCTGCCAACCAGCTAAGCTGGAGCACCAGGTGGGAGGAGGGGTGCTTTCTTTTGCCTGCGTGATCCCCTGGGGCTTCTCGCTCTGCCCTGGCTATCTGGTCTCCTGCGGTGCTCGCTTGATGATGACACCCTGCAATAGCTTAGTTATCTCTGTGTGGGGCTTTCCCACTGGCTGTGAGGGAACTTGGAGAGCAAAGGTGTTCCTGCAGAGCACTGCCCCTCCCCCCTCTTCTCTCAGAGCTGTGCCACTCCTGGGGTTGCTGCCATTCGGGAGGAAGAGGAGACCCCTTTACCTCCTTCCACTTCCTCCACGGGTCCAGCACCTCCACCTTCAGACATATGGCTATGTGGGTCTCTCAGACATCTTTTGTCTTACGTGAATGTTCTCTGTTAGTATATGAATGTCCTTTTTGTTGTATCTTAGAGGGGAGAGTCTAAGGGGAGCGCTCACTCCTCTATGATGCTGACGTCACTCCTTATTATTGAATTTTTATGAGTTTTCTATATATTCTAGATGCAAGTCCTTTGTCAGATATGTGATTTACAAAAATTTTCTCCCATTCTATGGTTTTCTTCACTTTCTTGATGGTATCCTTAAAAGCACAAATTTTTAAATTTTGATGTCCAATTTATTTTTTATTTTGTCACTTGTGCTCTTGGTGTCAAAACTAAGAAACCATTGCTTAACCCAAGGTCCTGAAGATTTATGCCTATGGTTTTTTCTTAGAATTTTATAGTTTTAGGTTTATATTTAGGTCTTTGATTCATTTTTTTTTTTGAGGAAGATTAGCCCTGAGCTAACATCTGTTGCCAATCCTCCTCTTTTTTGCTAAGGAAGATTGGCCCTGGGCTAACATCCGTGCCCATCTTACTCTACTTTATATGGGACACCGCCACAGCATGGCTTGATAATTGGTAGGTAGATCCTCGCCAGGGATCCAAACCTGCAAACCGTGGGCTGCTGAAGCAGATCACGTGACTTGACTGCTATGCCACTGGGCTGGCCCCGAGGTCTTTGATTCATTTTTGAGTTAATTTTTGTATGTGGTGTGAGTAGGGATCCACCTTCATTCTTTCGCATGTGGCTAAACCAGTTGTCCCAGTACCATTTGTTGAAAAGACTATTCTTTCTCATTGGATTGTCTTGGCACCTCTGTTGGAAATCAATTGACCATAAATGTGAGGGCTTATTTCTGGGCTCTCAATTCCATTCATTTACTATGTGTTTATCCTTATGCCAATACCACACTGTCTTAGTTACTATAGCTTTGCAGTAAGTTTTGGAATTGGGAAGTGTGAGTCCTCCAACTTTGTACTTTCTTTAAAAAATTTGTTTGGAAAAAAAAAAATTGGTTTGGAACAAAAAAAAAAAAATTGGTTTGGCTATTCTGGGTCCCTGAATTCCATGTGAATTTTAGGATCAGTTTTTCAATTTCTACAAAAAAGCCAGCTGGGTTTTGATAGGGATTACATTAAATCTGAGATCAATTTGGGGAGTATGGCCATCTTAGCAATATTATGTCTTTCCATCTTGAACATGGGATGTCTTTCCATTTATTTAGATCTTCTTCAGTTTGTTTCAACAATGTTTTATAGTATTTAATTCCTTCCACTTTCTTGGTTAAATTTACTCCTAAGTATTTTATTCCTTTTGATGCTATTGTAAATTGAATTTTTAAATTTCATGTTCAGATTTTTCATTGCTAGTGTATATAAGTTCAATTGATTTTTGTGTATTGATCTTATATCCTGAAACCTTGCAGCAGTCATACTCTTAATGGTTTTTTTGTGGATTCCTTAGGATTTTCTATATTCAAGATAATGTCATCTATAAATAGAGATCATTTTACTTTTTCTCTTCCAATCTAGATGCCTTTTATTTTATCTTCTTTCCTAATTGCCCTGGCTGGAACCGCTAGTACAATGTTGGATAGAAGTGGCAAGAGTGGAATTCTTATCTTGTTTTAAAGCATGATTTTGATTCTCATTTCTGACAAGTTTCAAACTTTTGTGGTATTTCAAATTCCTTTCACCTTCTATGTGATCTTATTTGGGAATATAGAGGGTGAACTTTCTGAGGGCATTTTCTGTTGCTTATCTTTCTGTCTGGCTCAAAATGAATAGATTTTCATTCCAAAGGAAGTGCTTATTAGTAATGAGTTACCTTGGTTTTTCATGCATAAATCTGAAATATTATTGTTCTTTACCATCTACTAAAGTCCTACATTATAGATCCAAACCCTAAAGATAATATTATAAAGCATGTTTCTGGTTTTACAGAGTTTATTGTGAGGTGACTCAGGATAAAAAGGAAACTGTAGTACTAATACAGTGATAGAAATGAAGCATAAACATTATAGAATGAGCCCCATGGTTTCCTTAATATGTCAAGAGCCATTTTTGTAGGGGAGCAAAGGTTAGTTCTCCCTAATGATAAACATAATCCCAACATCCTAATTTATCTTAACCAGCTATAGATATTTTTGTGAATATATCTGTCTTTTAAAGTGAGTATTTTTTTCAGCTATTTCAACTTTGTGATGTATTCTCTAAATTTCAGATAATCAAATAGCCTTCAAATTTAATATTGTCCTTCAATTTCAAAGGATTGTCCCTGGTTTTAGTATTTCAGAATTTCATTTAAAAGTTCAGTTCAGCAAACATAAATTGACTGCTATAATGTGCTGGTGCTATACTGGGTACTGAGAATGAAGCTCATTAAGTCTTCATCCTCAAAAAGTTCACTTTCTAACATAGATGAGTAATCAGTGTTCACCTTTCATGATTTTTTAAGCTTTGTTCATTATATACTTTATTTACAGATTCTTTTTTACCTGGCTACTTGCTCTTTTCTCTCTTGATTATTTCTCAAGACCTTTATCAGCTTTTCTGTTTTCTGGGGGTAGACATTTTCCCCAGAGTAGGATATTATGAGTCATTTAGGCTATAGCAGTTTATTGAACTTTCTTCAGGGAACAACGTATCCAGGAGTTAGCAAACTTTTTGTTAAAGGGCCAGATAGTAAATATTTTAGGCCTTGTGGGCCACATACAATCTCTTCTTTTGGCATATTGTTTTTTAAAATAACCTTTTAATATGGAAAGATCATTCTTAGTAGGCTTACAAAAATAGGCTATAGTTTCCAATCCCTGATCTATACTAGCTTTCTGAAAACATATTTTGCAGACCACTAACTCCACTAGATGGTCCTTGAAAAAAGGATTCCATGCTCAAATAATTTGGCAAGTGTTGTTTGCTATAATCATTCTCTTGGAGATTTATAAGGCTTATTAGCATATTAAAGACTTTTAAAAGCACTCTGTATATAAGCTTTTTTCTCTTTGGAGCTTTCTGGGTTAGTTTTGTTTGTGTGCATGCATGCACACACGTTACCGACTTGTATTCCATAGAACTAGTTTCTCAGCATGTCTGCGTATATAGAATTTCTAGATTATCTCCTGATCATAATTTATAATTAATCATAGACATGTTTTTCAGTTATTTTCCTCTAAATTCACTGCTTTGTCTATACCTACTCGAAAGTTCATTTTAAAATGTTCTATATGCTTTATGTTGAATTGTGAGTTTGGAATTTAAATGTAAAAAGAACCAGAGTATTTGATTTCTCAGCAGTTTTCTCTATTATCATTTTATGTCACTGCTAACTTTTTTTTTTTCTCTTAACCAGGAAAAGTGGGTTGAAGTTGCCTCAATGAAAGTGCCTAGAGCAGGCATGTGTGTTGTGGCAGTCAATGGGCTTCTGTATGTTTCTGGAGGTCGATCTTCCAGCCATGATTTCTTGGCCCCAGGTACCTTGGACTCAGTTGAAGTTTATAACCCTCATTCAGATACATGGACAGAAATCGGTAACATGATCACCAGTCGTTGTGAAGGAGGTGTTGCTGTACTATGAAATGTAAAGCATAAGAGAGCACAACAGTTTGAAAATACAGAATCTGAGCTTTTACAAATCACATATGTATTTGGTGTTAGGACCCTCTGATTCTATTGAGTTTTCCATGTTTTTTTTTTTTTTGAGGAAGATTGGCCCTGAGCTAACATCTGTTGCCAGTCTTCCTCCCTTTTCCCTTTTTTCTCCCCAAAGCCCCAGTAGATAGTTGTATGTCATAGTTGTACATTTTTCTAGTTGCTCTATATGGGATGCCGCCTCAGCATGGCTTCATGAGTGGTGCGTAGGTCCGCGCCCAGGATCTAAACTGGTGAACCCCGGGCTGCCGAAGTGGAGCACGTGAATGTAACCGCCATGCCACCGGGCCAGCTCCTAGTTTTCCATGTTTTGGTAGATAAATGACTAAAGAATGATTTTTCTAAGAATTTGAGTGAGAAGGGATATGGAATATATCCTCAATTAATGAAGAGCTCACACAAATTTGCCAACTTTACCAATAGAAATGCTGTTTATGCTCTAAAATTGTCCAGTTAGGGGTAGAGTCCTGTTTGTAAAAATGATTTACTAGAAGCTTCTTGGCAAATATCCCCTTTAGCTGCTTCTCCAGTGGAATTCAAGCTGTAACATGACCCTCATGTGATAAAATAATATCAGTGAGACAGTTTAAAGATGTCTGTACATTCATGATTCAATCCAGAGCACAATTTTCCATGGCCATAGTTTGGCCTACAGAGAAAAGCCAATGAAACAATTTCCTACTTTTATTTGATGCCAGGAGTTTTCACTAGCCCCAAACTTTTTATTGGCAGCACATATACTGGGAGGGACATGTGGGAAATATCTAGCTATTTATTTAGATAGATGAGTTTTCGCCTGTTGATAACAGCATAAAAAAAGCTTTTGCTCACTTATGTTTTCTGTCTTCATGCTGAGAATGCAAGTGAGGAATTAATAGGAGGTTCTTAGAGATAGTCCTCTATTGCAATAGGATGATGTAATGGGTTATAGAGCCCAGCATGTGGTATGCACCTAGTAAATTTCTTCCTTATTTTCTAAATAATTACCAAAAATATGTTTGGCTTTGAGAAGAGAGAATTTTATTAGATTATCAAGCTTTGGGAAGCCTATTTGTACTTGAGAAATCTTAAGTATGAGCTTTCAAAACAAAGCTGCTGCCTGGCTTGGAGAAGGTGGAATTGTAGGTACCTGTGAAACTTTTTATAGACACTGACTCGTAAGTGTAAGTTGAAAGACCTCTGATCCAAAACTGCTTCCCAAAACTTCTCATTTTCCCCCTGAGAAGCATTCTAAAGAATTGTTCTGTCCACTTCTGAAAGGAATATTCTTCAAATACATGATCATCACTTTTTATTTCTACTAGTCAGTTGGAGCCATATATATTAAAGGTCTTGCACACATTTAGGTTTACCTAGCTGATTCCAGGATTTGATTTGTATATCCCTGATTGCCCCTTTTCTTTACTAAAGTCCTTTGGTATGATGTTATAGGCATCAGCAGCTTATTTAGATAGAAAACCTTGGTAAGTATTAAAGACTCAGGTAGCACTCATATCCAAAATATTTGGATTGGCCCACAAGGATACTTTCTTTCATAACTTAACCATATGCATGTATTAAGAAAAGCTTATGTAGTGCAGACAGAAAGCTCTGTGTCCCTTTCTTTGCGGCATCCTCAAAGTCAGAAGGGTCACAGATGCCTGTAAAATGTCAAGGAATGAAGTATCAAGATAGATTATTTAAGCTCTAACTCATGTGCCCTTAATATTTCTAGTTACAGAGAATCTGTATTCTGGTTCAAAAGAGATTTATAAAATGCTCTTATAATTGAATTCTCATTATTACCTGCTGCCAACCTAAAATGGCACTGTGAAGGGAGGCATTTTGTACTGCTGTGGCAGAAATGTAATGTCAAGACAATCAGTGTTTGGGCTTAATAGGTCCAGAAATCCTTGAAAATAGGTAATTGTAAATATGCTTATTATTTCCTAGGTAATGACAGATTGTTTTAAAAAGAATGTACTAATAAAGTATCTTGATTTTTGCTTTTCCTTGTGTTACTTATTAACTTAAGCAGTGTTCCTGAATTACCAAACTATACTAGGATTGCCCAGGTTTTTTAGTGTTTTAACTTTAGGGACTGGCACATCTAGTATCATATTTAATTGTTTTCTGAGCAACTATTAACGTGATCTTCCTCCAAAATATTTGACAATTCACTGTGCTTCTAAATATCCTGTCCAATGTACTTAAAATCAAATGTACTTAAATTCTTAAAGAATCATACACTGTAACTCACCTGCAAAATGCATTCACCCCCATTTGCTTAGTGAAATTGGGCAATTAGCCTGAAAATATGACTTGCCCCTATTCTTAAAGATAATGAATTTGAGATCAGAGAGAAGTTTTCAGTTTGTATAGTCTTCATGCAATTTAGGAGAAGCAAAGAAGTGAGTTTCCTCACCAAAACACTTAATCTGAGTAGAATCTGAGAGTATTCTGAAGAGTACTTCTGAAGAGTATGGGCTTTCTTTCCTTCAATATTAGGCTGTCATCAACTGTTCTCCACAGTAAAAGATTGTGTGGCAGTTTCAGCCACGGGCTCTAACTGGTAAGCTTCTCAATGATCAGAACAAGGTCTAGCACTGTGGTGGTGTATTTGTTTGCTAGGGCTGCTGTAACAAAGTACCACAGAAATTTAGAAAACAGAATTTATTGTCTCACAGTTTTGGAGGCCGGAAGTCTAAAATCAAGGTGTTGGTAGAGTTGGTTCCTTCTGAGGGCTAAGAGGGAGGGATCTGTTCCAGGCTCCGCTCCTTGGCATGTAGATGGCCATCTTCATGTTCACATGCCATTCTCCCTATATGCGTGTTTGTCTCTAAATTTTCCCTTGTTATAAAAACACTGGTAATATTACATTACATTACATTACATTACCCTTATGACCTCATTTTAGCCTTATTACCTCTGTAAAGACTCTATCTCCAAGGTCACATTCTTAGATATTGGGGATTAGGACTTCAACACACAATTCAGCCCATAACAAGTGGGTAAGAAAGTAATGTTACCACTCTAGAGCCTGATAAATCTCTTCACAGCAAGAACCACTAGAGTGGAAATCATGTGTATAATATAATATGAATCATATGTATACAATTTAATATGAAATTTAACTAATATTTGAATACTTATATTATGCAAAGATAATGCATACCAGGTGATACCATTTTCTGATTTATATTCTTACACCATTTAAAATGTTTTCTCTTTTTTTATGAGACTAAGAATCTCACGAGACTAGGTTTTCAAGTTAGAATCCAAGCTGTTGCTTTTGCTGTTTTAAAAAAGCTTCTCTGTGAGTGAACTATGATGTAAACCTAGATAGCCCCACTCTTTAGAACATCAAGATGGCTCCAGCTTGACTTTTCCTCTCTAATTTATATGTACTAGTGGCTTTATTCTTTTAAATATTTTTGACCAGCTGGTGTTATGTTTGGTGATGAGGAGATAAGTTGCATCTATACTCTGCCAAGTAGCCTGATAAAAACTGGAAAATATGTCCAGCTTTTCTTTGAACATGGCTTCCCCTTGTGATACCGCTCCCTACTGACTTTAGAGCCACAGATTTTTCAGCTCATATAACTAGGTTATAGCAGGTAAAATGAGCGTGGAAATGCAATGCCCAGGGGCAACTGCAATGAAAACTCCACACTGGAACTACTTATTATTTTTAGATACTCATGGATAGGAAGTTTGCCTCTTGAAGTGGAAGAATGTGTGTTTTTCCAATGATCATAAGGCTCTAGCAAAAGAGATTTTTCATCTTTTTAAAAATTATTTTGCATTTTTCAAAACAATTAAAACATTGAAATGTTTAAGTGAATATTATGAACATAATTCATAAAAACACAATGAGAACTATAACCTAATATGACATGAAAATGACTTATTAGGGGTTTTCAAGCTGTTGCTCAAGTAATTCCTATGAAATAAAGATTTCTAGAAATAAAAATAATCTGTGAAGTGGGAAAAAAGAGCTAAATAGGAGAAGTAGAAAAAGGTGATGCCAAAACACAACCTTACAAGGCTTGTGCCAGCATGCTAACGTCATCCTCAGAGTAGTTTTATGTTTATTTTACTTGACCTGGTCTCTTGGGTCCTTTCTCCGGATAAATATCTTTAACTACTAAAGTGATTACAAATGACAAAAAAGCCACTAAAGTGACTACTATCCTCAGGGCTTTGAACCAATTGGGATAATGAGGCAAGAGAAAAAGTTCACTATGTAATGCTATCCCCAAACCTATTATTACTGTGACTATAGCTTCACTGAGTCTTTCCGAAATAAGGAAGGCAAACCATGAAAACAAAACAGGAGCTGTACTGTTAGCTAAATTGAGGAAGTCTGGTTTGGCTGGACTACCTTCTGGCAGAGCAAAACCCCACCTGACCCCTCCCAAGAAAGATAGGAAACTGGCTCCATAAGCCATCTGAGTAAGAGCTAATATGGGGATATAAGTCTTTGTCATCACCATGACCAGTGGTGGAGCAACGAAGGGGATTAGTCCTGCCAGGGTTATACATAATGCAGGCTTTGGGCTGTCAGGCAGGTAAGTGATGGTGCTTGGTGACCTGGCTGGAACTACTGCTTGCTTCTGCTGTTTCTTAAAGCTGCATGGGGAAGTATGATAGTATTGTGTCTTGCTCATACACACTGGAAATGATGAGAAAAGCCAAGTCCTTGGAAACAAGGGGGAAAAGTTCTGCTGGAGACACATCCTGAGAGAAAATGTATCCATTCTCCTGCTGGCTCCTAGTCTGAGTGTGAAAGAGTGCTTCAGCATCTGTAGAGAAAATAGAACCAGAAGACAAAAACAGATTTAAAAAAAAATATATCACCAAATGTCTTAGTTAATCCCAATCTGAAACAATATAAAAACAAACCATATGCTTTCTGTTAGCATATCAAACTTCACAGAAAGGTTGAACTAACTACTGAGTGAAATCATCACTGGCTAAGACTACTAAACAGCTATACAACATACAAAGGAAACTACTGAATAGAAACCAGTGATGTTTCTGCCTACCACTAATCTTATCCCATGAGAGAAATATCTGAAAGAGGAACAGGTAAAGACTAGATCTTTAGTATCTGTTATTCTAAACTGTCTCTTTTATTTATAAATTGCAAAAGCAGCAGCACTAATTACTGTGGGAACGCTATTTTATGTAGAGAAAAGCAATGTACCTCACAGTTTAGCTTTGTAGACAGTGCATACTTTTGTGTGTGTGTGTGTGTGAGGAAGATTAGCCCTGAGCTAACATCCATTGCCAATCCTCCTCTTTTTGCTGAGGAAGAGTGGCCCTGGGCTAACATCCGTGCCCATCTTCCTCTACTTTATACGTGGGACGCCTGCCACAGCATGGCTTGATAAGCGGTGCATAGGCCCAAGCCCTGGATCCAAAATTGCGAACCCTGGGCTGCTGAAGCGGAGTGTGACCCCAACCACTATGCCACCTGGTGGGCCCCGACAATGCATATTTTGTATAGCTCCATGCCTTTCTACATGTCTCTGCCTAGAACTCTAGCTTACTACTTTTCTATCTAGGGAAATTGTCTTTCAAAATTCAGCTTGAAGCTTTCTCCAATCTGATTTAATGGTCCGATAAGTAAATACCCTATGCACACTTCCATCATAATTCTCACAGTGAATTAAATTGTGTGTTTACTTCTCTGTCTCAGTAGACTCAAAAGCCGGGACCATATTTTTTTCTTTGCCTTAAAAAAGAAATCCCCAGTGCCTTTCATGGTCAAAGTAATAACCTTTCCTGCTGATTCTGTGCTTTAGTGAGCAGATTCCAGACTTCAACTAGTAAACAGATCAGCAGTAACTCAAAAAGTGTTGGATAAAACAAAAAATGAAAGAGTTATTTAAGAATCTTGGTGATTCCGCAAAATGCTAGGAATGATTCCAGCATGGGGCCTTTTTTTCCTTTTGTCTAGAATGTTCTTCCGTGAGCTACCTGCATAGTCCATTCTCTCACTTCTGACCACCCTATATATAGTTGCAATCCTAAGTCTATTGTTGACACTCCCTATTCCCCTTCCCTGCTTTATAGTTCTCCACAGCACTTACCACTTGACATATTAAATATTTTACTTATTTTTATTTTATTCATCCCTTCCCTCACTCATCTGAATATTAGAGGATAAGGACTTTTGTTTTCTTTTTCACTGCTATTGCCCCAGCCAAGCCATGCCTGGCAAGTAGTGCTCAAATATTTGCTGAATAAACCAACCTTTGAAGATGCTTGAGAAAACTTCTGGATGAAGTGAAGCATACTGGGCCCAATTGAAAGTCTTGCTCAGGAAGATGCCAGGCAGTTCTGATTAATGTAATTTTACAGCTAAGTGGAGGGGCTGAATCAGAAGCATGCTGCTGTGTACAAGACAAGATGTCACTTAATTTTCTTCATTTTATACATAATTTTTTAAAAGTAGTAACTCATGGGAATTTCTCATATAACAGTTTTCCTTTGAAAACAATCATTAATGTTTTCAAAAAATCAGTAACACATTAAGTAAATAAACCCTTTTCTTTTCTGAACCGTTCATTTAGCTTTTGCTTGTTGGTGTAACAAAAAGAAGAATGCACCGAGACAGAAGATCTGGATTTTACAAACACCTCCATCATTTCCCAGCTATGTGACCCTGGGTAAATTGCTTCCTTGAAGTGCCAGTATTCTCATCTTTAAAACTGAAGGTCATAGCTTCTCTGTTCTCTTTTTTCCCCTTAGCTATCTATTTTGCAGCTTAGGAGTTTACAGCTCAAAATAATAATAGTAGCAATCAATACAATTTAGCTGTGAACCAGGCACTGTAAGTATGTGTTTTATTTGCATTAATTCATTTAATACAATAACCTCATCAATTTGGTGCTGAGAAACAGTATAGCCTGTTAAAGTGCATACTTTGGAGTGACACAAGCTGGGTTGGAATCCTGGCCACACTACTTATTTGCTATGTGACTGTGGACACATTTAACCTTGCTATGGTGCAGTTCACCCACGTTTGAAATAAGAATTATAATAACCACATAGGGTCATCGTAAAAATTAAATGAGTTAATACACGTAAAGAGCTGAGAACTCGCGGCCGGCCTGGTGGCACAAGCGGTTAAGTGCGCGCACTCCGCTGCAGCGGCCCAGCCTTCGCCGGTTGGGGTCCAGGGCGCCCACCGACGCACCACGTGTCAAGCCATGCAGTGGCGGCATCCCATATATAAAGTAGAGGAAAATGGGCATGGATGTTAGCCCAGGGCCAGTCTTCCTCAACAACAAAAAAAGAGGAGGATTGGCAGATGTTAGCTCAGGGCTGATCTTCCTCACAAAAAGAAAAAAAAAAGAGCTGAGAACTCTCCCTGACACAAAGTAAGCACTCAAAAAATATTAGCTGTTATTCCCACCTTACACAAGAGGGAATGGTTAAGAACCCTGTCTAATGTAAGCAGCCAGTAACTTCCTGAGTGACAATATGAGTCCAGATCTGTCTTGCCTGAGTCTCATTCTTAACCAGCAGAATGAGGTGTCTTAAAAAAATCCAACCCCCCCAGTTGCTTCTTAATTAAAAAAATACTGAACTAATTTCTTGATCACAGATCTTAGGGCTGGGTGGAGAAATCCTGTATACCAGTCAATGTCTTTATTCTATACATAAGGAAGCAAGTAGGAATTAAGTTATCCTGGGCCTTTGAGTAGATCTTAGATGACACCCACATCCACTTTCAGACTCCTAGACACATCTATCTGCAGGGCCCAGACACTGCCTTTTGCTCAAAGTCGCTTGTGTAAGGGCTTTCTAGACCACTCCACTTAAAATCTCAACGCTCCCTCCACCTTCGCAACTCCCTATGCACTGTGACACGTGGTTTCCAGCTCATGGGTATTAAAGCGAAAAAATGATAGCCTAAAGCCCGGGGGCGGCAACTGGTGAGGGAATTAAGAACAAAGACCCAAGGGTCAATCCGCTCAATTTAGGTGAAAACGCTCAATATTTCCTCTACCCCAAAGGAAAGAGTAGCAAATTGCAAGCCTCAAAACCGACGTCAGAGAAGAGGGGGAGGAGTCTGGACGCAAGGATCACCGGGAAGCTGCCGGGCTTCTATTTACTCCCAACCCTTGGAGCCCCCCTTCCCACCCTGCGCCTGTGGCAGCAGCCCTGCTACTTACTTGCCAGGGTCGCGCGGGGAGATGAAAAGATGAGCAGCAAGAACAGCCAGGTACTCGTGAAAGTCACTTCCGGCCAGTGCGGTTAGACAGCCGCCACTTCCTGAGCACCGACAAAAATGAGTCCGGGTTGGGTCTCGACCAGCACTAACTGGTTCCCACGCCCGGCTTTCCGTCTTGGGCCGCTCGTTTGAAATCTTAATTTTAGTGAAGGACGGCTTTTGAAGTCTGTGGGGTACCTGAACGGTCCTTGCCTCTCTATTCTAGTTTTCCGAGCCAGCAGAATCTGCCTCGCAGAGTTCGGGAAGGTAGGGTGCAACTACTGAAACAATCTCAGAGTGATGGTGGTGGAGGAAGGTAGGAGAGATTTGGAGTCTAGGCCAAGTGTGACTGGGCCAAATTGCTTACCATCTCTGGAACTCATTTTTTACTTTGCGAAACAACCGCGTTTCTAGGATCAACGGGGCACATCTCACTTCGCATTAGGGTCCTGAACTACTAATCTTAAGGAAAAAAACACGAAAACTGTTTCCACTTCCATTCTCTTTGCTGGGACCTGGAAACTTCATTAAGAAATAAAGAGCACAAGGAGTAGGATTTTCACTTCCATGAAAGGCGTGGTGATAGGAGCCTTGGGTTTGGTGGTGACCCGAACAGTTACATCATTCCTACTGTCACCCTCCGCTTTAATTTGTCAGCTGTGTGACCTTGGGCAAGTCCCTTCCCTTCTCTGGGCCTCCATTTCACAGTGTATCAAGGCAACAGCACCAGGCAGTTTGAACGTCCTTCCTGAAGATAAGTAATAGGCGAGCTTAAGGAGCCCACGCCGGCCAGTTTCTCCATTCCCCAGATGCTAGGTAGTCTAGCTATCTGGTTGCCGGCCATCACACGGCTCAGCTTCCCGTGCAGGATGGGCTCACAGCGAATTCTTCGTAATAGTAAGCGCTTCTAATCGCGATGTGCTTTCATTTTTATTTCCTTTTTTTGTCTGTCATGGCAGCGCCGCCCCTTCTCGTCGTGCGATGCCCAATGAGACTTGGAGCCGGAGAAACAGCTTCGCCCTGACACAAGAGCACGCTCGGGCCAGCAATCCGCCCTGCGCTGGGCCGGGGGCGTGACGCCAGCCGCCAGGCGGAACTACCACTCCCAGCCGGCAGCGCGTCGGGACAGCGCGCAGGCCCCCAGAGCCCGGCCGTGTGGCCCGCTGGGGGCTGGAGTCTCAACGACACGCGCGCGTGAAGGAACGAAGGAGCGGAAGGGGAAGGGGTCAGGACACAAGCCTCTGCGAAACCGGTCTGCTAGTACTTGCAGAGGTAGTTTGGGGACGCGAGCTTGCCCAGAGGCGGGTGTGGGACGGTGAAGAACGAAAGGGCGGGGAAAGCCGGGTACATATATGCACACCCACTCATTCACACGCGCTCAGGCCCTAGTGCTGCGCAGGGGGATAAGTAGCGGAGTACCAGACTCAACTGGTCTCCGCCCCTGCGGCGGCGCGGAGAAAGGCCGAGTCGTCAACTCTGCAGAGGGGCGGGGGCGACCGCGCGCCGCCTGGAATCGCGGTGAAGGGAGCTGCGGGCGGGGCAGGCACGAACCGCCGTTCACGCGACCGAACGTTGGCGGCTTGGGGCGCGGGCAGGGTCACCCGAACAGGCCTCGTGCGCGTGCGCCGCGCTCCTGTGGGCGGTGCGAGTGAGTGGGCGTATGTGAGGCGGGGTCCGCTTGGGGGGCGGGGCTGGTTGCCGCTCCTCCCCCTCCCCCCTCTCTGCCCCTCCTGGGCCGTCTGGGCCGGGCAGCCATTTTGGGAAGAGCTTTGTTATGGTTGTGGGGTCTCCACCTCTGCCGGATCAGGAAGCTGGGGACGCGCCCTCGGACGCCGCATCTGGTCCCTAGCTGTAGGCCCGCCGCTGCCCGGTGAGTGGGAGTTCCGGACAGCTGGGCAGTAGGGGACCTTGAGTCGTCTCGCCGCGGGGCTCCGCCCGGTGCCTTCACCGCCGTCTATTGAAACAAGTTAAAGGAGGCTCTCACACAGGTGGTTGGGTGTAGGGCGGCCCGGGGACGGGGAGCGGAGCCCGCGGTCGTGTGGTTCGGACGAGGCAGCTCCCCTCCGTGTGGAGCTTTGCACACGAGCGTCGCCGCGGCTCGGCCGGAGCGCTGCGACTTCAGCTTTGGTCTTCGGGTCGGAACGCTCACCTGCGGCTCTCTGGCTCCTCTCCAGGCGTTCCGGCTTGTTGGTGGTTGGACGGCTTGGTTTACGGGTTTCTTTTTCTTTTCTTTTTAAATTAGAGCCAAGGGCTTTTGTTTTCCAGTGAAGGAAAATCTAAGGAGGAAAAACGCGTGTCTAGTTTAGGGAGTCAGAGGGGAAAAGAGGAGCTGTAACTCCCCGGCGTTCCGGTTCTCCTCGGGAGCGAGGTGTTTTCGTTGATTTACATGAAGTCTATCCAGCACATGTCGACCCCCCTTCCCCCGAAAAAAAGCTGGTCGATCTCGAAGTGTTTTAACGAGGATTTTTTTTTCTGTTTTAAATCTACTTCTCCCCACCCCCGTCAAATTCAAAAGAAAGGCTGAATCTAAAATGGCTGTAGCTTGGGGAAGTGTCCTGCGCTTCGGTAACTTAAATAGGTTAGCATGTCTTAAGTTTTTAGTTGTTTCTCCTACGGGGACAACAACTGAAGCGTTTGGTCCTTTGGTGTTCTTGCAGTTTGTGTCTCATCTTGAAGAGTCCTTGCTAGGTGAAAACAAGGGTGAGGCTAAGGAAGCTTGCTTACTCCAAAAGTTTACATAAGAGTGGGTGCGGTGTTTTTGGGTTTTTTTTTTTGGTAGTTGTTTATAGTTTTGAAATTGTGCTGTGGTCTTAATTTTATCAGCCAACTTTGTGCACAGAGGTTGGTTTGTCATACACGTTAAAATACTTGCTCCTAACTTTGATATTTATTGCTTACCAGGGAAAAACGGAGTTAATGGTGGCTCATGTTTTAGTTTAGTAACAGGAGTCACGTTCCTTTGTAAATCTCATCCAAAAGTAAAGTGATTGGTGGTCTTCAATAGACTTAAATTTGTAATTTGGTAGACTGCTGGCCTTTTGTAAGGTCTTTTATTTTATGTGTAATACTTGAAGGGGAGCTAGCGTCCTGTTAAGTTTGGGACATTTATTAGAAAACTGGAAGACACCAAGTGAAAACAAACTCAGATGTGGAGCGCTTGATTGTTGTGCCCTTTCAAACAAAAAGCCTTTTTGTTTTTGTTTTTGTTTTTAACTATTAGATCCAGAAGTTCAGCTGAAAACAAAAAGGCAGAGAGTGGAAACCAAAAACAGTTAACTTCAATGTTTGGAAAGGTGCTTGAGTTTCAAGTTGCAATCTGTCTAAAAGATAAAATAATAAAATGCGAATTGTGAATGAGAACTTTGGAGTTAATAGTAAAATAAATTGTCATCTTCCTTAGGGAGTCAGTTTCAGTTTACCTTCCTACATTCTTGCAACACAGAACTTTATTTTTGTCAATTCTGCTAGGAGTTTTTTTGTTGTTCTTAATTTATTTTGGTGGTTTTACAAGAAAAACGTTTAAAGTTTTTTATAGAAATTACATGTCAGTTGCTTTGTGTTTTGCCATTGTTGCCTAC